CAATTCGCTTACGTCTTAAGTCTTACTGCTTAAGTTTTTTTATGTGCCACGGCCCTTACTGCTTAAGTTTTTTTTATGTGCCACGGCTCTTACTATTTAAGTTTTTCTATGTGCCGCAGCCCAGCTCCATAAAGTTAGCCGGTCAACATTCACTTTTATAATTTTTTTTTTTATGGATCGTTTGTTGGTCGTTTGTTGGTGATTGTTGGTCTAATTACAACGTTTGTTGGTTAATATTTTTTTTGAAAACACAAAAACAAAATTTTGTGTGAAGTTAGCCGGAAAGATATTATTTTTGTTTCAAATTTAGTTCAATCGATGCGTAATCGTTTGTTGGTCACGAAAAAACTAATTAAAACGTTTGTTGGCTCATATTTGCCTTGAAAAACGAAAAAAACTAATGCACTCTGATGTTGGTGCAGGGGGGGGGTGTGGAGTCGTTTGGAGTATTTCGTATGACGATGCCGTGACATATACGTGAAATTTTAAGTGCAAAAGAATATAGTACAATTATTAATTGTTTACGGACAGCATGAAAAACACAGGTATTCAACAAAAAATCTGGATATAAATAATAAGGATATTCTAATAGTTTTCTACATTGCCTACTGCACATACGAGAGATATCCTAACCTCTCGTATGTCACTGTCTTAATATCTTATTATCATGTTTTAGTATCAAACATATCTGTAAATTTTCGAGATTTTGCTCATCCTACGAAGTGATATTGAATAAGTATTCTTTGCTAATATCAAAGAGCTTGGGTACTTTAGCAATGTGGGACAAGTTCTTAGATATATGTAATAATACATATTACAATTAAAAGCGAGTAGTTCTTATTATATCTTTATAATACAAAAGTATGCAACATAAGCCTAATAATTGTCAAGAAATTAATCAATCTCTTTTATTTACAGTGGGATCTTTACGCTACAAATAGTGTATTTGTGTACGCAACATATACCAGTGCTGGGATAACTATTGTGCAATTACAATATGAAATAATGTTTTTAAATACTGTGGGTCTATTCAACCTAAAGGAAGACTGTGAGAATTGTAATGATGACAATTATACTGGTAAGATTGCTGTACAAATGATATTATGCTGCCTAATAACATTATATCATGTTTATTTTTATTTTAAGCAGACGAATGTAGTAGATAGATACTAATTCGCAAACTATAGATCTCTAGCTCTCTAGAACTCTAGCTTGCATCAAATGTCAGGGAAGAATCCATTTACAAAGCACGAGAATCTTTTAAGCGAGAGTTAAATATTATAATCTCCGCTAATAGAATTTTGTGATCTGTAATGGAATGATCAACGCTCATTCATTAACTTGCAGTGTTAGAAGATTAAGTAAACATGTGCATTGCTATTCAGTTAGTTAATACATCAGGGAAGACAGTGCTTTAGTGTCATACTTGAATGCAGTATATTGTATATTATCTGTATCATAATAGAAAAATCATATATTTCGTTCTTAACTGATTTATTACCTTTATAATTACATTGAAGTATATATACAAACACACTATTTTTCAGAGAAATAATCTTGTTTTAATATGATAATTATGTATTTATAATAATAATATTTGAAGGTTTTTATATTTATGTACTGCCTCACTTAATGCATATATATGTATTCAAATATGGTATTAGAATAGGTATATTTATATATTTGTATATCGGTATATTTCGTATGCTGTCTGTAAACAATTAAAAATTGTACTGTACTCTTTTATATTTAAAATCTCACGTATGTCAAAGCATTGTACCATATGAAAAAATTTCATATGGTACGATGCCTTGACATATGTGATACCATATAATAATTTCATACCATATGAAAAACACAGTTATACAAATATATCTATTCTAATACCATATTTAAACATATGTATATGCAATATGTAAAACAGGATATAAATATAAATCTTCAAGTATAATTATTACAAATATAATTATCATATTAATACAGGATTATTTTTCTAAAAAATAGTGCGTTTATATATACACTTTAATATAATTACAAAGGTAATAAATCAAAGATTAAAAATAAAATATTAGATTTTTCTTTTGTGATACAGATAATATACAATATGCTGCATGTGCTGAGTGTGGCATGCTAAACCACTGTCTTCACTGATGTATTCACTATCTGAATAGCAATACAACTGTTTATTTAATTTTTTAACAGTCGATAATATGAAATCATTTCTGCTTCAATAGACACTGCAAGTTAATGAATGAGCGTTGATCAGTCCATTACAGATCACAAGATTCTATTAGCGGAGATTATAATATTTAACTCTTGCTTAAAAGATTCTGGTGCTTTGTAAATGGGTTCTTTCCTGACATTTGATGCAAGTTAGAATTCTAGAGAGCTAGAGATCTATAGTTTGTAAATTAGTACCCATTTATTACTTTCGCCTACTTAAAATCAAAATAAAACATGATATAATATTAATAGCATAACATTAAGATCTCGTTTGTACAACAATCTTACCAATATAATTGTTTGAAAACATGCTAAAGCACTGTCTTCCTTGATGTATTAACTAACTGAATAGCAATGCACATGTTTACTTAATCTTCTAACACTGCAAGTTAATGAATGAGCGTTGATCATTCCATTACAGATCACAAAATTCTATTAGCGGAGACTATAATATTTAACTCTCGCTTAAAAGATTCTCGTGCTTTGACGTTTGTTTGATGCAAAAATAAGACCATCCAGAATGTATATATAATAACATATATTAAATGTAATATATATATGTATTTAGGTAAATTTAATTAATTTATAAAATTAAAGATTTTATTTATATGGAAGTTAATTTCTATTTTATATCTTAAGTAGATAATAACGAACAATTATTTTCACTTATTTGGACAGAAATCGTCCAAATAAATGAAGATCGGACATTTATATCTGTCCGATTTTCCAAAAATCAATCCAATATCTGAATTCTCCTGTATGGGAATCGTATCAGAAATTAAACTAATAGAAATAATTACAATGTTTTATTAGCCGCATTTCGCAGGCTTTATATACGCTTGACAGAAACTTGAATACGGGTACAAATAGTAAATAAGGTGCCACATAGCGGTAAGTGCATGAACTATAATCCCAATTTATAAGGAGAAAAAAATAACTTGTGTGTTACTAAAGTTACATCGCAAATATATTATAATAAATGAATATCTGTAATAATATATTCTATATGTATTAGTAATATAACATTTGTTATATTGCTAAACGATTACAGTTGTTATATTTATGTTATGTATCACGAGTTATGTGTGTGTTATATTACCTTTTTAAATAACTATTATGAGTTATATACGTAACGAAGAAATATAACTATATGTTCTTCTAAAGTGCTTTCAAGGTTATATAACACTTACATCTCGTCTATATAACCGTGAAACATAACATTGTTCTTTTTATGTGCTCCCTAGGTTATGTAACAGTTACATATTGGTTTGCTGGGTTGTCTTGAAAAATGTATTCATATGTACAGTCATATATACAATATAATTACAAAGTTAATAAATTGATTAAGAACAAAATATATGATTTCTCTATTATGATACAGATAATATACAATATACTGCATTTAAGTATGACGCTAAAGCACTGTCTTCTGATGTATTAACTAACTGAATAACAATGCACATGTTTACTTAATCTTCTAACATTGCAAGTTAATGAATGAGCGTTGGTCATTCCACTACAGATCACAAGATTCTATTAGCGGAGACTATAATATTTAGCTCTCGCTTAAAAGATTCTCGTGCTTTGTAAATGGATTCCTGACAATCGATATAATCCACTGGTTTGCAAATTAGTATCTATCTACTACTTTCGTCTGCTTAAAATAAAAATAAACATAATATAATGTTAATAGGCAGTATAATATTGTTTGTACAGCAATCTTATCAGTATAATTGTCATCATTACAATTCTCACAGTCTTCCTTTAAGTTGAATAAACCCACAATACTTAAAAACATTATTTCATATTGTAGTTGCACAATAGTTATCCCAGCGCTGGTATATATTGCGTACACAAATACACTATTTGTAGTGTAAAGATCCCACTGTAAATAAAAGAGACTGATTAATTTCTTGACAATTATTAGGCTTATGTTGCATATACATATTCTTGTATTATAAAGATATAATAAAAACTACTCGCTTTTAATTGTAATATGTCTTATTACATATACCTACGAACTTGTCCCACATCGCTAAAATACCCAAGCTCTTTGATATTAGCAAAGAATACTTATTCAATGTCACTTCGTAGGATGAGCAAAATCTCGAAAATTTACAAATATGTTTGTTATTAAAACATGAGTTCATAATCCATTTTCCAGATCTCAAATGTAGGTTCCGGTATGCCAAAATTGTTACTTATATTTTTCATATATTCCCAAGCTTCGCATATAACACTTTTTTTGATTAATGGATTTCTATATCTAGCGTAGTTTTCCTTAATTCTTAGATTATCTAAACTATTTTTTAATTCTATTTCGCCGTATTTATAGATTTTGCTAAAAAAATTTTTTGCTAACATTCTAGCTCTGTCCATCAATAATATTTTTTAATCCGGGCGCGGATTGAACCGATTAAAACCGATTAAAACCGATTAAAACGGATTATGTTTTAATCGGTTTTAATCGACCATTTTCGGCAGGGCATTAATGCTGTATTTACTTCAACTCCTCTAGATATTCTACTTAGATATTTTAAGATTGAGTTAGCTTTATCGACTTTTCCTCTGGCTTCATTGATCTGTTTGTTAAATTTGAGTCTGTTATCAAAACAAATACCTAAAAATTTCGCTTCCCTACAATTTGGAACTCTAGTACCTTTAATTTTAATGTATTGTTTTTTATCACAGAAACCGCTTCTAGAAAATTCGACTAATTTAGTCTTATTTGGTTCTAGACTTAAACCTATTTTGTTTAAATTTTTAGCAATCGTATTTACTGCAACTTCTAGTTTAATTCTATTATTCCCTCTATTGCTACCCATTATATATACAGCAATGTCGTCTGCGAACTGTAATGTTTTGATATCTTTCTCTAATCTGTGAGTAATTTTATTTGTGTAGATAGCGTAGAGTAGTGGACTAAGCACAGCACCTTGAGGCAAACTTTTACCTACATATCTATGAACTGAGCATTGACTACCCAGTAAGCAATTTGATAACAAATTGTTGCCAAATTGGCATCAAATTTGCTCAAAACTTGGTAACAAATCCAGTGCCATCTGTGTCCGCATTAAGCTTGTGTTTTGGTGACAAAGCTTGCTGACATAACCTGACAGCAAATTGACGGCAAAAACCGAGCAAAGCTTGACATGATTTGACGTCAAATTGGTGGCAAAAATCGAGCAAGATCTGCGCAGGACAATCTGACAGCAGATTGTCAGCAAAAACCGAACAAATTCTGCAGCTTTTGGCCATTCATATAAAATAGTATATTTAAATGGATTTAAAGTCTCAACCTAAGTAACAAAATGATGATAAGTTTTAGTCATAAAATGACCATTAGATAATTAGACATCCTAAGTTAGATCTCATGCTCCCTCCCATGGGGGGGGGGGCGAAACCCACGCCTTGCCGAAAATGTTCGATTAAAACCGATTAAGTTTTAATCGGTTTTAATCGGTTTTAATCGGTTCAATCCGCGCCCGGATTAAACCGAACGATTAAACCGCCCGATTTTAATTCCGAACGAACTATAATCGGTTTTAATATCGTTTTCGCGGATTATTTCCAATCTAAAATCATTACTTTCTAATCCATATTGTTGTCAATCCAAATAAACACGAATAATCGAATGGATATTGTGGCTGCCGTAGGTCGTCACATTAAGCACAATCCGCGATACAATAGTGCGACCCGCAACTTGGCGGGCCACGCGCTCGCGCGTACGCGCGTAGTTCCGGGCGGCGCCGCTACGCGGCGAAAGTCGAGCAGTTTATATTTAAATCGGGCACGAAAAAATTGAACTGATAGAAATATATATATTATAATATTATTAGCGTATGTATAAAGCAGGCTTTATATACACTCATGACAAGAATTTGAATACGGGTATAGATAATGAATAACGCGCCGCATAGCGATAAGCGACTGAACTATTTTATAATACTTTGTAATAAGCTGCAGATTCTGTTCGGTTTTTGCTGCCAATTTGCCATCAGATTGCGCACTTCAGACCTTGTTCAGTTTTTGCTGACAATCTGATGTCAGTCATGTCAGCAAGCTTTGCTCGGTTTCTGCCGCCAATTTGCTGTCTAGTTATGTTAGCAAGCTTTGCTTGGTTCTTGCCGGCAATCTGCCAGCTTAATCGGTAATAACAATTCTTACACCAAATTTGTAGCCTTTTTGCTGACAATAATTTGTAGCAAGCACTTGGCAATATCTGTTAGAACAGACGTGGCTGATTTACGTGGGTATTTACAATAAATTCTGTCTCACGAGGTTGCAACCAATTATTAATATATTTTAAAATATTATTAGGACATTTTTCTTTCAATAATTTATTAATCATAATTCCGAAATCCACATTACCATAAGCTGAAGTTACGTCCAAGAAAGCCACCGACGTGTATTCGTTATTATATATATAACTTCTAATATCAGCAACAATTTTCACTAAGTTTTCTGCGCATGATCTACCTCTTCTGAAGCCGTTTTGGAGGTGATGTAATATCTTCTTTTTTTCCGCCCACCATATAAGCCTTTCATTAACCATGCGTTCCATTACTTTCCCAACACACGAGGACAAAGCAATGGGCCTTACTTTTTCTTTTCCTATTTTATCGATAAAAATTACTTGATATTTAAACCAGTCCATTGGTAGCTGTCCATATTTCCAAATTTCATTATATATGTTAATCAGAACCTGTTTGACCGCCAAGGGTAATTTTTTTAACATGACGTAGTCTATGCCATCTCTGCCAGGTGCTGAATCCCTTTTAATCATATTTATTGCTCGATCAAATTCCACCATATTGAACTCTTTATTTATACTGTTCCACTTGTCTGTGCTTCTTTGACTAATACTTATTAACTCTTCGGTTATTTTGGAAGGAACCCATGGGGGTGCCAATTCTTCTATTGTTTTATATATTTCTGTCTCTCTATTTTTTGTAGGCCATGTATTCCAGTTTATTTTTTTCTTGACGTTCTTGAAGGTTCTCATAACATTCCATACATAACCTAGACTAATAAATTTATTTATACTATTGCAAAAATTAGTAAAACTATCCTTCTTTTTCTTCCTAATTATTTTTCTTGCTATAGCTCGACATCGTTTAAATTCAATATAATCATGTAGAGATTGAGATTTGCTCCACTTCTTAAGTTTTTCCTTTCGTGTATTTATAGCTTCTTCACATTCAGCGTCTCACCATCGGACTGGATTGCCTTTCTTTTGATTATTTGTCCGTTTATATTTAGTTATATTTTCTGGGTTTTCAGTTAATCGTTTACCCGATGCCGTATGTATCGCTGTCGTCAATGATTGTATGAATCTATTATATTCTATTTCCATTGACGAGTTGGCAAAGTTAATGTTGTTGAGGTTCTTGTGTCTCATTTCCTCATCTACGCGCCATGTGTATTCGTCCTAATTCGTTTTAACTGAAGATTTTCTATTAGTACATTTTTGATATCGGTGGGTAATGGTCGGATTCCCACGAATCCTCATTTTGTTGATAATCTATAATATCAATTAAATCGTAGTTAGCGAAAATTAAATCAAGATTAGATGCTATTTGATTATTATAACCCATCCTGGATTTAATGTCGTTATTCATACATATATATCCGTTATTATACATAGTCGAATAAAGGTTTTCACCATTTCTATCAATGTTGCTACAGTTCCAGCCACTATGGTATGCATTGAAATCACCTGCTATAATGGAATTTGCCTCATGGCCTCTAAATTTGAGAATATCATCCCAAGCTGATTTTGGCTCTATGTCGTACGGTTTTCTGTAAACTGCTATTAAGTTAAATTTAATCGAGGTATTTTTGATTCTTATTCCTATAGCTTTGATATTATTGGATTTTTAAATCCATGGCTCCATGGTATCGAAATCTATATCTTTTTTAATAATAATAGCGATGCCTCCAGAATTTTCCCGATTTAAACTCTTAACTACCTTGTACCCGGAGAAGTATATGTCTTTGTTACAGCTCATTTTGGTTTCGGTTATAATACTGATATCAAAATTATTAATATGTTGTTCTATTTCTGCTCTCTTGTTTGATATTCCTCTAGCATTCCATAATAGTAAGTTTGTCATATTGAATTTATACTACAATTTAAGAATTTAATTATATGTAGAAATAAATAACCAAAAAACAACAAAAGAACGATAATAAATAACCAAAAATAAAGATCAAAAATCAAAATAAATAAATAAATAAATAAATAGACATGTAAATGAAGACGATAAATAAATAAAAATCGATGATTGACTAAGTAGTAAATAGTTAGAAACTGAAACAAAACCAATAACAAAAACCAAAATAAATAGATATATAGATACATGAACAAATGAATAAATATATATATAGATAGGTAAACAGGTAAGTATCTAACTGAAAAATAAATAGATAAAAACAAAAACAAAAACCGAGTGAAACTCCTAATCATCTCTATTATCCCAATATTTTTTCTTGATCTCTGATACCATGTTCTTTGCTCTATTCAGCTCTTCCTGGAATTCTTGATTTCTTCTTCTCAATTCTTCGTTATTGACTATTACCTCTTCAGCTTCCATCTGTTCTACTATGTCAAGTTGTGCAGGATTACTTAAGTTTTGAAAAAAATACATCATTAATTTTTTAAATTCTTGTGATGATTCTAAACTACTTATAAATTGTATCATTAAGGCCTCATTATCTTCTCCATTAAGGTACATCTCTGGACTTTCAGTGTTTACTGTATTGCTGTTATTTGGTCTTTCATTTACCAGATTTTTATTATATTGACGGATCGCTAGCCCTCTTTTCTCTCTAGTAATTGATTCTTCTCTTTTATTAAATTGGTTGTAATATTCCTTGTATATTTGTTTTCTTCTTATGATATTAGCATTCTCAACGTTTTTTAAAGTACTTTGTTTCGAATCAGATGTGGTAGGTGGCTTTATATGTTGATTCTCTGTAACAACATTACGTGCATGACTTTGTCTGTTTGGCTTGCTCGGTGAATTCTCAATGTTGTGGCTTGATAACTTATCATTGTTTCTTCTTATTTGGGGCCATGTATTTGGTTTGCTGTATCTATCATACTGTATTGACTTGTCTTCAGTTCCACTTAAAACTCTTTCGGCTTCGTAAAATGTAACATTATTGTATGCCATAATTGTTTTAATTATTTTATTTTTTTCGAAAATCGGACATTTTCTATATGTGGATTTATGTTCTAAACTACAGTTACGACATTTTGTTATCTTGTTACACTCACCATGAGCCGTTTCTCCACAATTTATACATGCTGTTTGACTTTTGCATAGACTTTTTATGTGCCCATATTTAAAACAATTATAGCATTGTTTAACCGGCTCTATATAAGGTCTTACTTTTAGTTTGTATTGGAGATTTTCGAATATTGTAATGTTTTCCTTTAGTTGACTGCCTTTCATCGTAATAATAATATTATCCGTCTTCTTATTCATCATGACTTTTTCCTCTTTGTTCCAAATTCTGCGAAACATCCTCTCCATTTTCGTGACTTCGTCCTTATTAATAATCTCTTGCCATAATTGTGGAATATCGTATGGCCAATCTGTAATAACGCCTCTCCAAAATTTTGATTTATTGTTAATAAAGCCTATAATCGATTTATCATTGGTTTGTGCCCTGTCCATAGTATCCAAGCATAAGTTTGCTTCATTACAATTAGAGAATATCGCCTCAGCTAAATTATACTTAATTATATTAATTTTTAAGGGGAAGATTTTATTATTATTAAACCATGCTAATATTTTTAAGTAATTTTTTCCCTTACTTACAGTAATCTTATCCGCAGTTAGTTTACATGTGATTTTACATTCACCAATAGTTGATTCTTCGTATCTAATTAATTTATTTTTTAACAATAACGTTAAGCTATCAGAATCAATTTCGCTTTTATTTATTAGCCTATCCTCTATATTATAAAATATTTCCGCATTTTGTTGGTTTGATTTGGTAGTGTCAATTATATAAGCTTTACCAGGCTTATTACTGTTATTGACTTTGACTACCGACGGCTGTTCAGTAATATTTTGACTTGCTACTATCTCTTTCTCACTTATGTGGCCACTGTTAACTGTTAGCTCTGTATTGCTTGGAATAGTCTTACTTGAGATATCTGCTGACTCATGTTCTTCTACATCCTCAAAACTAGTATTGCAACTATCCTGCATATCCTTGTCGCTATCTATTGTAGTCTCTCTTCGTTTGCCGCCTATTCCTATCGGTGATCTGGATCTATTTCTCTTTTCTTTTTTACCTCTACCTCTGCCTCTTTCCATTGTCTCTGGGTTTGAGTTTCTATACGACGTTCCCCCTACCGAAAGGGGGAACTATTTATTTAATGTTAACAGACTTGTTAACGTTAAAGACGTTAACTTATTATTACTCTATTAGAACAGTACACTCCTAATTATTCTAACACCCCTTGGGTAGATATATTCTTTAATATTCGTATATTGATATATTTATATCTCCGTGTATAAATTTCGATCCGTCTTCCACGACAGACGAAACGCGACTCTCTATTAAGACAGTGACATACGAGAGGTTAGGATATCCCTCGTATGTGCAGTTGGCAATGTAGAAAACTATTAGAATATCCTTATTATTTATATACAGATTTTTTGTCGAATACCTGTGTTTTTTATGCTGTTCGTAAACAATTAACGTTGCAATATTCCTAAAAGCGGACATTTTATCATTGCTGCAATTCCACAGCAATGATGCAGCAACACAGGTTTGAAACAAAAATAATATCTTTCCGGCTAACTTCACACAAAATTATGTTTTCGTATTTTCAAAAAAAATATTAACCAACAAACGTTGTAATTAGGCCAACAATCACCAACAAACGATTCGTAAAAAAAAATTGTAAAAGTGAATATTGACCGGCTAACTTTATGGAGCTTACATCAGCCTTGCTTATCAGTGACTCCGCTGAGCCAACATAGTAATCACAAAGGTTACTAGCTAGTGATATTACTAGGACTCACTATAGCCAATTATATGACTTACTATAGCATATTACATCTTCCCTTTTAACGGGTTAAGTACAAACTAAATATACATCAAGCGACGCAGTAGCGTCGCGACGCCAAGTCTATATAAAAATTCGTTCCAGCTTGTCAACGGTTTGCCTATGTACAGGGGCAGCGACGCTACCAAGTAGCTTATCCGGAGTTTTACGTCTAATAAACTTTCGATTAAAATTCCTCAAGGAACCAAGCCGTTAATCAAAAATCTAACCGCACTTTTCTGATACAATGTGAATGCAAGCTTTCGATTGCGACCAGTTTGAATAAGATTGGTGCAGTCAATCCTGAGGAATGATAATCGTATACCAGAATGTGACACTTTTATTTTTCATAAGATTCAGACTCTCACGTACGTACGTATGCACGCATACATGCAAAGCGATTTTGTCCCTCAAGGCGCGTTTGCAGCGCTCATGTATGATTTTATGCTTGAGTGTGCAAATACGCCTTGAGAGACAATGTGTATGTATGTGCGTGCATACGTATATGATACGTATCAAGCAGTGCGCGGTAGCATCGTGACGTCAAGATATAATAACGTTATAA